TGTTGTTTTTTTTAGTTTGTTACTCAGACGCAGGCAGTGCGCTGCATGAGACAAAAAAGTAATATAGCCAAAACAACCGCATAGCCGCTCTTTAGTGTAGATGCATGTTGATTTTATCAGACGATGCCGCGATTATAAATGAGAGCGACTCCTGGTTAACATGTATTAAAAGGGGTTGTGTTTAGTCACTATTTAGTGTGGTATTTTTTGACAATATTCACTCATCATGACAGTAAAATAGGGCATTCTAAGTCAATATACTGCAGTATTTCCTCTCTCAATAAGTAGAAAATATTGTTAACACCCGGGTCATGCATGAAAAAAAAAATACAGTCTGGTACCGTGAAACCGGTATAATTTTGAAAAATACCGTGATATACATTTTTGGTCATACCGCACAGCACTAATTTATAATGCGACAAAAGATTTCTGTTTCAAATAAATGCTGTTCTTTTGAACTTTCTATTTATCAAATAAACTGGAAAAAATTGCATTTTTTAATTAGTTAAAATAGAAAATATAAATATATATTTTAAAGTGTAATATTATTTCACAGTATTACTGTATTTTTGATTAACATAAGAGAGTTCTTTCAAAAACATTAAAAAATCGTACAGATCTCAAACTTTTAAACCGTTTAATATGCATTAAACTGGAAAATTCAATATTTCCTCTGGCTTTTCAGGCCCCAGTGTACCTGCTACCACAGACAGTGGCGATGGCTTTGAAGCAACCAGAGGCCAGCTGGCAGGAGCCGGTGTAACATCGGTCCACAGCCCAGTTAAACAGATTCACCTGATCTGGGTTAAGTTCCAGCAGAAGAACCACCACCTCACAGCCCAGCTGATGCACCTGAGGAGAATCAGATCAGAGGATCACGTATGTTATCCGTTGATGTGAATGGTGACATAAAACCACCTTGGTGGAGGAACAAGGTCACAAAGGCATTATAACGTTACACAGTATTTCTATTTTAAATAAATACTGTTCTTTTGAGCTTTCTATTCATCAAAGATATTTGAAAAATCTTACTGATCCCTAACTTTTGAATGGTAGTGTCTCGCTCCAACACCACAAAAATATTTCAGGGCACAAAGCCAGACTTTCACTTCAAGAATCAACATTTGCAAGTTGAGATACAAGCTGAGAAATAAAGAGTTAGAGACATCTAAGAAAAGTGTCTTATCTTATGAAAAATCCCTGAGCCAATTTGCACTGGGTCAACAGGCACACTTTGAGAATCATTTCAAAGATGGTTGTGTTGGTTTAGCGCTATCAACACTAAAGGAGTGATTGAGGACATATGTGGGTCATGTTGTTTCAGAGTGTTTGGCCGCATACCCACAGATCCTGACAGCCAAGGATGTTATCCAGCCATTTATAGAGGTAGCCATCAGGAGAGAGCCCTACGTTGTCGAACACGGGGCCACAACAAAGCACAGTCGACATGGCCTATGAAAGGAAGAAAAAACAGCATTCTTTCATGCAAAGCTTTCATGCAAAACTTGGAATTTCCTGTTTTGAGGAAATCACGTCCTATCGTGTCCAACAAAACAAAAAAAAATACTTCAAAGAAACAGGGAAGAGGCTCAAAGGACTCATATCATGTCTGGACATTTGTGTGTTTTAATGACGCCAGGGTCTTGAAATTACACACCTTTTACAAATGCTACAACATTATATATGATCGTCTTACAACACCCGCCTTTCTATTATGGGGAAGGGGTTTACGGCAACACAAGAAGCTACACGTACACGCACAAACAATAATAGCTTTAGAGGTGGGTGTCATTTTTCCAGAAATTCAAACCTGAACAAACCTGACGTGAACTATATGTTTACACTTCGTAAATTTGCACAGAGCTGACATTATGTGTACAGGGTTCCCATAGACAAAACCGAGCACACATGCGCTGTCATCCCAAATGGACTCATTCGTCACGTAGTGGACCCACTTTTGTCTCTTTGGCATGTGTGTCCACATTGAGGTCTTGCACTGTATATGACTACAGCGCTTCCTGGGCTATAAGTAGACCTCTGGAGATCAAATTAGTGGAGTATACGTCTGCGGTCTGAATTAGCAACACAAGCAATGGTTTAAATTAGAGCCAGAGTGAAACATCATCTCATTCCACTGCTTTCATATGCAGATTCGAAATACAAATATATGTAAAAAAAAGATGTATTTATATTATTTCTTTAATATTTTAAATGTATTATTATTTATTGTAATGTTCCTCTTTAATTAAACGTTTTTTCTTCTTTTTTTATGACATTTTGAAACATGCATACACTACTGTTTAAAGTTTGGGGTCAGTAAGATATATATATATTTTAAGAAATTAATACTTTTATTTAGCAAGGATGCATTAAATTAAAGTGACAGTAAAGACTTTTCCACCTGACAAATCATGTGACAGTTGTAACATTATTTCACAATATTGTTTTACTGTATCAAATAAATAGGTTTTTACTGTATTTTTGATTAAAATATTTTCAAATAGATTACAGTTATTTTCAATTGCAATGCTATTTTACAATATTAAAGTTTTTACTGTATTTTGATCAAATAAATAGGCTCCATCCCCAAACTTTGTGTACAGCAGTGTGTATTTGTTATAAAAAATATACATCTTTTTTATTTTGAATGAAGACCCATCTAAAGCAAAACGTACTGTGCAATGGAATGAAATATCAAAATGATATATAGAATGATATATTATATAAATGTAGTCTGTACTACCTTAAGAGCACAATACTGGTATCTAGTAATCTGATGGTTCCGGTCACTATAGCGATCCAGGGGCGTGAACATGATACTGAAGGGTCCAGCCCATTGGCTGAAAAGGATGAAGAGATGGTGCCGAAGGCTTTGTTGAGGGAAGAGGAAACGTCGATGATGCACTATGAAACAAGGAGAGGAGAAGAGAGGTATTAGATAAAAAAAACTATAAAAACATAAATTTTACACCCAAAGCTACATGTTTTATCAATGCAAGTTGGGCTACAGGAACCCCTTCATGAAAAAATATTTTGTGGTAGTGCCTAAACAATTTAAAAACCTTATGATTTTAGTTTTGCCACTCTGCGACTCATCATTTGCCCATGAAGCGGCTCTTGATCTAATCTACTGCTATTTCGGGCAATGTCTCCACTGGGGAGTCTAAATCAAGACTGATGTCAGGAGTCCTGTGACTGAATACACTGTAACCTAGCAATGAATTCCATTTCCTAAACAAAGAAAATGTGGAGCACTTCCCAGAGCGAAATATAACTTCATGACCATCAGTATGATTATTTAACGTGAGGAATAAATATTTAAAGTAGAAAAAACTATATTTTGACAATTTATGAATTAAACGAGTTGTGCACAAACAAGAATGTGTATTACGAATTTAAATGGAATAAATTTTGATTTCGTGTTGACATTAATTGTATACTGAGTGAGTTTGTGAGATGTCTTCCTCTTCACCTGGGACACACTGTATGAGGTTGGCCACCATGGCGCTGAAGTGAGCTCGGATGTCCTTGAGAATCTCCATGTCTTTGTCATTCTCAGCTTCCAGAAGCATCCGGGTCAGGTCCACATACTCAAGAAAGAGAGCGCCCAGGGCCAGCGTATCACGTTCCAGAGCTCCATTAGTGCTGAGAGACAGAAAGATGGGGATCATTTCATGTTTTGTAGCCTGCGAGTTCATAATGAGATGCAATGGAGGTGTCCAGAGAACAGAATCCATAATAATAACATCCTTCTCACCTGTCACTGATGACACCGGCATCCGCCAGCAGCTCAAAGATCCTGAGGAGCTGGAGTCTTAGCAGATCTCTTCTCTCTCGCCGTTTTTTATTCTAGAGGACCCATTATGAGAACAATTACTATAGAAACTTGTTATAACTATAGAACTATATATAACTATAGAAAATATTTCATTAATTTACAAGTCTGGGAATTACATTTTTAAAAATCCCTGACATTTTAAGGTTTCCTATGCTTGTAGGAACGATGTACTGTGGTACTTTTTTTTTTTCCATGCAAGATAAGTCAAGTATGCATTGCTTGAGCGGGCCATTTACAATACAACAAGTTATTGCACATACCAGCTGATCTAACTGAACTATCCAAAAAAAAAAAAAAAGAAAAGCTGTCTAATCAGCATCTTGATATGCCACACCTGTGAGGTGGATGGATTATCTCGGCAAAGGAGAAGTGCTCACTAACACAGATTTAGACCGATTTGTGAACAATATTTGAGAGAAATAGGCCTTTTGTGTACATAGAAAAAGTCTTAGATCTTTGAGTTCAGCTCATGAAAAATGGGGGCAAAAACAAAAGTGTTGCGTTTATAATTTTGTTCAGTGTATATATACTGTAACTGACCTCAGGTCTTCTTTCCAAAGCTTCCTTCATCAAAGGATGCAGTTCCTCAACAAGCTCTCTGTACGAGACACAACAAATAGAAAATCAATAAGGCTAAAGAATCAATACTGTGCTGCCAAGGTTTATAGAGCAATAATTGCTCTATTCCCATAAATACTTTTTTTTTTTATTCCAAGAACTGAAATAAGCAGACATAACTAATGTAATATGAAATATGATTACTGCTTTGGAAAAAGATTTGTCTAGATTTAGAGATGGTGTCAAAATGCCAAGTGAAAATGGCTCTCACACAAAGTCTAAACACACACACAATTTTTTTTTGGCATCTGAATACACAAAAAAAGTAACAGCACAATTATAATCGCACAGTAAACTGAACATTGTTCCATGACTGACATTTTAATGATTTCTTTGCCTGGCCATTTATAGTATCATAATTATATGCATACAGTGTTTGTGCATCGCCTTATCAAAGTCAAGGAATTCAAAAACCCTGACAAGTACAAAACAGAGGTATGACTAGAATGTGAACATCAGATGCTGCTCACATCTTATCTGAAAAAATCTTGCTGAACTTACATGACACATTGCAAACAATAAAACACAGTATGTTGTGATGTGTGATAATCAAAAATGAGTGAACTTTCTATTATGAGAATGTAGAATCTTATAGGAACTTGGCCCATCTAAATGTTTACATTAGTCACATCATTAGAGATCTTAAATGTTTATATATTTGCTACATAATACCTGAAAATGAATGAGTTTGTGCGGCCAAATCCGAGCACCAAAGACTCTGTGATCTCAATGCTTTCTGAACGCATCAGAGGAATCAACTGCTTCAGAAGCCAGGCCACAGACGGGGTGCCGAGGATCTAAAGAATAAGATGTTAATCAATGATTCCATCAAGTCAATAAATGACTGACTGGGGCGTATGACTGTAGACATGACTGGTGCGTGATGCATAAGAAGCCCCACCTACCTTGTTGTCATAGCTGCTGTTGCTGTCTGTACTGGGAGTGATGATCTCAGGGGTGGAAGCTCGAAGATGACCCGGGCTCATGATGCTGGGTTTGGCCACACCAAAACACAGAATCAGATAGTTTCTCCAGAGAGAAACATAGGTGTCTGCTGAACCAGCCGAGCTTGTCTTCTTGGCGTTAACTGGGTTGCTAAGAGATGAAAACATTTGAATGAATTGACTGATGTAAAGTGAAAAATAAGCAAATTAAACTAGCTAAATTAAAAACCATAAATAAAAATGGTTTTTAGACCAAAAAAAGTTTGGTGTCAGTTGTATTTTTTTACGTTTTTGGATGCCGTTTCCACCACTGAATAAAAAATAAAAAGGTAATTGCGAGTTTACATCTTGAAATTTTGACTTTCTCAGAATTGCGTGAAAGTATTGCATGATATAAACCTGCAATTGCGAGAAAGAAACTAAAAATTGCGAGATATAAACTCGCAATTCTGAGAACATATCAGTCTTTTATCCCCCTCAGAACTGGACTTAACCTCGCAATTATAAACAGCGCATATTACAAAAAGTCGAAATTGTGAGATAAAAACTCGCAATTACCTTTTTATTTTTTATTCAGTTGGCGAAAACAGGCTTCTATACCTTAGCTCAACTAATCTGCATTTATTTAATAAAAAATACAGTTAAATGGTCATATTGTGAAATGTTATATTATATATATATTATTTTTTTCAATATATTTTAAACTATAATTCATTCTTGTGATGGCAAAGCTGAATTTCAGTTTCCATTACTCCAGTCTTCAGTGTCACATGATTCTTCATACTAATATGTTGATTTAGTGCTTAAGAAACATTTGTAATATTATCAATGCTACAAACAGGTGCTGATTAATATTCTATTGTGGACTATTTTGGAGACGATTGTTTTTCAAATTTTCTGATGAAGAGGAAGTTCAAAAGGACACCATTTACTTGAAATAGAACTCTTTTGTAACATTAACAATGTCTTTTCTGTCACTTCTGATCACTTTAATGCATTTTGTTCATTACTGACCCCAAACATCTGATCGATTGATTAATATTATATTAATTTGACATTTTGCTGAGTTATCATGTATTATGAATGTACTGTATATAAAAAGAAGAGTAACCCAAATAGGACTGTACAGAGTCTGCTATCAGAAGCAGAACCACTTAAACAAGTGCAGTATCATAATAAAAATTATGGCTATGGGAAGCCATTAAAAGCTTAAACTTAAAGATAGAGTAAATGCTTAAAAAGCTCTATACCCAGGCACAATAACCTATACCAGGCTGCCACAATAATTAAAGCGCCAATGCAGACCAATCAAACCACTGACCACTCAATGATACATATATAGATGTAGGAGAAAGTTTGAAAGGTCAAATAAACCCTTACAGTAAATAGTTTATCCATCCCTCACCTGGGCTCAAGTAAAGGCATGAGGAGCTGCAAGCGGGTGAAGGCGTAGGGCCAAGCGTAGCTGAGCGCTGTGGGACAGTGCTTAGGCAGGTACTCCTGTCTCAGAAGGCTGAAGAGGCACAGAGCCCAGGGTTCCTTCAGAGACTGTGCTAAGATCCACACACGAGACGGGCTCCGCACGTCATAGTGGCTGCCGACCAGAGATCCGTTCCACTCCACTAGCCACTGCAGGTCTGCGTGCTGCCCAGCGGGGAGGGACACCTGCGGGGAAGTGGAAGGGAAGAAATCATAGTGGCCACTTACAGAGAACTCAACAGTGAAATGAAAGAAAATTGGTCAAATAACAACATTTTTGGATAATTACAGACAAAACACAAAATGGATTTATGCTAAATTTAGCTCTTTAATGTACCAATTTAGTATTGACATCTAGTATCTATGTGATTCGAAATCATCAAGTAATCACCTAATACACTAAACTCCAAGCTCAGAGAGGTAAAACAGACTTTCTTATAAACTCAGAACAGAAGACACTTTGTAGAAGTCCTCTGAGACTCACATGTGAGCGAAACCACAAAGGACCGAACAGAGAGGCACTCACCGAGTCAGCCACCGCCACGTGGGCAAAGCTCTCGAGCACCACTGGGCTCAGCTGGTCCAGTACATCTATCATGGGCCTTTCATCTTCCTGTGCAGAAAAAAACAAATTATATGATGGAATGAATACCATATTCCACCATAAATGAGTGGATGTATACTCTTAAGGTCTATATCTGATCAAGTCAGGCTCCAAGTGGCCCTTACCTCATTCTGCCCGATGGTGAGGAAGATTTGGCGGACCTCTCGAAGGATGGACACAGCTACTTTGCGCGTGCCTGTCTGGCAGGAGCACAGCAGCACTAAAGCGAGACCCTCAACAGCATGCAGGACTGTGGAGTGAGACGTCCGTTCATTAGATGATATTAAAAGACACAGTGCAGCCCCCCCAAAAAAATGAATTAACTGTAATTTGACATTTTTACCAATCTTTGCAACTATCCTTCAAACCACTAGGTTATACCCATTTTTTTAGAAAGAAAAGTTTTTAATCATTTAAAATATAATAAAATGTAGCATGACCACTTACTATTTTATATATTTTAAAAAGTACAAGTTAATTTGTTATGCTGAATGATGATGGAACATTATTTCACCCATATTTTGACATTTTATATTCATTTGAAACAAAAATAGACACTTTACCTGCATTTGTTTTCTTGTATATAAAAGTATTATTTTAGTATCACTGATATTATTTCAATATTATTTTTATTTTAGTTAAAGTTTTAGGAATTTTGTTGAGTTTTGTCTATTTTTATATATTTTTTTCAAATACGTCTATATAGTTTTTATTAATTTTTATTCCAATTTTAGTTTCAGTTATTTTAGTACTTCAGGTTAAACTATAAGAAAATGAGAAATAATGCCTTGACATCTAGCTGAAATAAAAACTATTTATTTTCTTTTATTTCAGTTTCATGTTTATTTTATTTAAATTAGCAAAAATGTTGTTTAATGGTTTTAGTTTTCATTTTAGTAACTTGATGTGTGTGTGTGTGTGTGTTCCTTAAATGTTCCTATACATTTATCAAAATAGTATGCACCAATCCTCATAAATAATCTGCATACTTTCCAAGTGCTTCCATTACAAAGCAGAAGTTCCTCCAGCTTCAGTGGAGGAAGTTCACAGAGAGATCAACTTTACTCTGAACTAGCTGGCTGACCTAATGGCTTGTACAAGAAGAATTAAGTCTGATTAGACCAGCCCTGACTCAGATTGCACTGGGACATCCTATTCAAGCCGGGGGGCTGGGAGGGATCACGTTACTGAAGCTTTCGGGAAACCTGACCATTGGGCAATTCGTCAAAGCAAATGCTTCCTACTTACACGCCCATTCATGCATCGAACATATACACACACTTACCGTGCCAAAAGGTCTATGAGCTCAGACTTGGACATGCCATCAGGAAGGATGCGTGGAATGGCGGCCATGCATGTCCTAAAGAGGTCAATCTTGGGTTTCCTCTCGCCCCTGTCAGTATAGAGAGAGGTCACACAAGCTCAAACAGTGAACTGACAAGCTCAAACTTAGTTCGATTTGGGTTGATGGGTCAGACAGGTGTGTGCAGAGAATCAGATACACCAGATGAAAGATTATTAGACAGAGTCAGTGTTGTTGTGTGACATACGTAATCATATCCTCGGGTTCCTTATTCAGCATCTGTGCATTACTCAGCATCATACAGCGGCCAACCTCCTTATCCAAATGTCTGAGGATGTTGTCTAAAGCTTTCCTCACTTGGGGGTAATAGAAGGACATTCCTGATGGTTGAAACGATGCAAAACTTAAAAGACTGGCATGTTCTTTAATAGTAACAGAGTTTAATGAGAAAATGCCAATCAATATGATCCAGAAGATGTTTTTGGTCAAACCTTGTTGTGTTTTCCCAAAATGCTAGTTAATGTTGCATTGTTAGCATTGGACTAAAACTTGCTGACTTTGCTCACAACTCAATTTATTATTTTTTTTAATTTTTTACATTTTTTATACTTTTTGGGGATTTTTCCCCACCTTGTTACACCTGGTGTTCTCAGTCAAAAATGACCAGTCTACAAAAAATTGCTTGTAAATTTCTTGCTATGCTATATTATTATCAAATCTTGGATTCAAACTTTTTTTCCTTTTCTATTAGCACTAGGGTTGCAAAAAGGCAAAAAAAAAAAAAAAAAAAGATCCACAAAATTTCCAAAACCTTTCAGACGTTTTCAAAACTTTCTGGGATTTTTTGGAAAATTTCTTTTCAAGTTTCCAGAATTTTCTGGAAATTTTCCACCCCTTTGCAACCCTAATAAGCACAGATTTTGTATTTCATTCTGGAGCTGACTGATCACAGGCCTTATCAGTCTGAGCATATGCACCTCAGTTTGTCAAAATGATCCACAAATAGATAAAAAGTGTATGGATTTCATTGCATTAGAAAGCAAAGTGCATTAGGAAAAAAAATGCAAAATGCATTGCATTAGAAACAGCAAAAAAAAAAAAAAAGACATCTTCATTTTTGTTATATAATTTAAATTACATGATTGAAAAGTTTTCATGTTTTCATCATCTTTCTTGCATTAATATTATTCATACATAATAACACTGAATAGTAAATTCGGAGTATATATCTATTGTTTTACAATTTAAAAGGTTTTTTTTTTTTTTGGCAAAATGTTTTGCTTGAAAAGTGTGCTAAATGAATGCCTGTGCCGTTCATAAAAAAGCCCATTTTTATTTATTTTGTTATTCAGTGCAAAACACATTCATACGCTGACAGTTTAGTCCCATAAACAGCCTTTATTTTTATTGAAATTATTCCTCTACAAGTACTACAGATGAACTCACCTATGACTTTGGCCTCATCTTCAGTCAGAGGCTTGCTCAGGAATGTCTTTTTGACTCGTAGTGTGTTTCCAGAAGGGAGCGTTGCCCCTGTGTTCGGCATTGGGGGATCACCATCTTTCTGCTGCAGCTTGTCAGCAATAACCAGGAATGCTCTGAGACCTATATTCATTCTCTACAGAACAAGAAATCAAGATATGAGTGCCATAACAAGGAGATAAAGCTACTACATCTATTGTAATTTGACAATACTTTACCTCCGGATTAAGACTAAAGGCTTTTGCAGGTTTCCCAACACACAGTAGGTCAAAAATTACTTCTTTCATTGCAAAGTCAAGTCTTTCCTGTAAGATAAAAAGAAAGAGGAAATGTAACAATGCAGTATGCAAAATGTAAATATTTTAACACATGCTGCATCAGGAAGACTAAATATGAGTAGCCTTGCAAATTAATGACGGGAATCTAGCTGTCATTGCATATTTGTTTCGGCAGCAACTCTAAATCCTTTGTCCTTAGACACATGCTCTGTTTTCACAACAAACAAGAATTAAGTCTTGTATAATGGTTTAACAGCAGATTATTATTGAGGTTTTAGTTTTAGATCTGTCTGTCACTTAATCGCAGACTTACCTGTGCAATAAACTGGATAATCTTAACAAATATATTGAGAGGCATGTCTTTAGGAACTACGCTGCGGGATCCTTTAGGGAACAGGGTCATCACGATAGAGTTGAGGCGGCTGTTGGGACAAGATCACAGTGTTTACCGATAACAAGTTTAGAATCTGGCACAGACATATACAAAAAGAAGGTCAAAGCATAGTGACACAGAAAGCTTGTTATAATTAGAATTCCATTACAGTGGCAGACCTGAGCCCGGCTTATTTGTGAAATTACATTTTTAAGTGAGGTTTGTCCACTTTGGGCTTATTCATAGTGGTTGCAAACTCCGAAGTCACAGTTTGGTATGTGGCATGCAAAGCCAAGGTTTCTGATATTTATGACTTGTTGCTATAATGCAATACATCTCTCTGAATACATCGCAAGAACTGCTAGCTGACCCAACACCAGTTTTCCAGCCTAATTTGAGCATTTTATGATCCTTGTGGTTCCAGAACTAACCTCCCCTCCCATGCTTTAGATATTTAATATGCCTTCTTAAATGAGTTCGGTGAGTTAATTTAATGTTTTTGAAAGAAGTCTCTTATGCTCAACAAGGCTGAATTTACGTGATCAAAAATACAGTAAAATAGTAATAATGTGAAATATTACTACACGATCCTTCAGAAATCATTATAATATGCTGATTTAGTGTTTTATTATTAGCAATGTTGGAAACAGTTGTGCTGATTAATATTTTTGAGGAAACTGATACTTTTTTTTTCAGAACAGAATGTAAAAAAATGCTTTTAATTCAAAAAGAAATTGTGAAATTATGAAAGTCTTTGCCGTCACTTTGATCTATTTAATTCATCCTTGCTGAATAAAATAATAATAATAAAAAAGACACCAAACTGAACAAACTGAAGGTTTGTTTGGAGTCAAATACTACAATATTTTCATTTTTTATATATAAATATATAGGATAAAACAAAAACTGAATTAAAATGCCAAATACCATTTCATATTACTTTTTAGATAGCATACTACTATTTGAAATCTGTACTGTTCCATAAAGCATACTGTTTAACATATAGTACTTTTTTTGTATGTATGTATGCTGTTCACAAAGCACACGGTTCAAAAACTATCACCACAACTTCCCCTTCTGGTGTTGAAATCCTCTAAGGGCATGTACACCCTTTCCCAAACCATTTATTACATTAATTCCGATCGATCTATTATGGATTAGCTGCATAAGACATCTACACATGTTCAATGTTCATTTCTAGCCCTGAAGATCAAATATGGGTGTGTATATGGCTTCATTTGCCAAGCTTTCGATTCCCAGTGGCGTTCCAACACCCATCACCCATGACCACCAGCCTCCCTTCTGGTTCTCTCCTTTCTCCACCCATTTCTGGCAGCACTGTCAGTAATTACCCCTCCGCCTGAGGCACTATGACTGTAATGGATTGCTTGTTTACTTGCTGCCACTGAGAAGGGCTGAGGGGTGCGGTCACACCCCGGGTTCATTGGACTGACGGCCATGGGAGGGGTAGGGTACAGACTTGTTTTAATTTTTTGTTTTTTCAGCCCTTTAGAACTCCACTAAGAAAGCTGGCATTCACGAGATGGGCCATATTATGTAAAATCAGTTTACTGTGAACCTTGTCTCTGGGGGTCTCAGATGGGCGTTTTAGTAGTGGCTTTAAATACAAGTAGCAGCAGACCACGGCTGTGCTTACCCCTGCGTCGCAGTGTTGCTCTCGCATTTGATGCGAATCATGTAGACCCACAGAAGTCGGTAGAGGGACTCTAGTGCTACCCGTGCCATTTTAGGGTCCTTGCTCTGTAATGATGAAGTTTATGTAGTGAGAAATCCAGTTTGCGATTTTGAGTTGAATAAATGAATAAATAAACTACATACCTTCAGATTGGAGAGGCAGTTGTTGAGGAAGACATGCCATCTGTTGAGGAAGAACTGTTTTTGGCTGACACACAGCAGACATGTCACTAGTGGGTACAGAGCCTAAAAAAACAGACAAGGGTACATAGTGTTCAAAGTGCCATCAAAAAGTATGAAACACTACATCTTATGAAATCCAGACTGACCAGTGAATGCTTCTTTCTTGTTGAAAGGTCCAAGGTGGTATCATACAAGCTCTCCACAAAGTTCCTTAAACAGGGAACATTCACCTCATTCTTGACAGCCTATTAAAGAACGGAAAGACAATAATAATAATGAGGATCAAAACGTTTGTAGATATTTCTACCAAAATAAGGATTAAAAAGGGTGATATATGGCTATATACGTTATTAAAACAATTACTTGACCAACAGGTCACATACAATGATGTGTGAGTGGTTTGTAATGTTCAAAATACATGTAAATAACATCCAATTTGCAGAGTGTTGAAAGATCTTTATAACATTTCTCTAACCGCTGCTACAGGAACTAGAATTTCCACAAAGAGTCCAGCCAAAGCATGTTTGATGTCTTTGTCCTTCACTTCCAGGAAATACTGCGCACACTCCTGTAACAGAAAGGAGCATAGCATAGAGAAAAACTGTTAGCGTTCACATTCTTGAGAGCTAATTTCATTTAGCTTATCACTATAGCCTTATCTAAGTCTCTATATTCAGTATAAATGTATTTAAAATAAATATAATAAATTAAATATTAAACAAATGAACAAAATAAATAAATAAAAAGGCTACAGTACAAATGTATGCTTTGTGAAATGTCTTAATATTCTACATTTACCTGTATGAACTGAAAAGAGGCTTCAAACTCCTCTACAGGATACATTTTCACTCTGAAGAACTTCACGCCCATGATGAGGCTGATGGTGCTTTGGACCATGTATGGGCTCTGCTCCTTCTGACGGAGCTCCTTCAGCTCACTCATGAACCTCTTTTTAACAGCAGGAAATCTACACAAAATTTTTTTTATGATGGACAGATAAATCACCGGCTTGAGGGCAAGCGTTATTCTTCACAAGCACTTACAATGAGAAATCGAGTCGATTATATGTTAGATGAAATATGAGGTAGGAAAAAGCGTTTTAAGATTTTACTCATTTCTATGACTTCACAGTTTTACAAAAGCAAAATTTCTGGAAAATCAAATCAAATCAATAACACAGCACTGGTGCCCCTGCCCTCTCACAAGTCAGACCCCAAGATGTCAAATAAGACAACCAGAGACCTGGTAACATCTCTTGAGCAAGCAAACACCAACAGACAACAGTTTCCCAGATTATTTCACCCAACCAAGGCGAAAATATAAGAGACGCACAGGGGCAACTGTTTTGCAACAGGCGCAGTTGTTTTGTAGAGTACCACACAGATTATAGGAATGACACTTATGTACGGAGGATGCTAAGCATTCAGACCACTTGAAAGCTATGTGCTTCTGAAGATCTAGAAACACAAAGGCTGATTTCCAGACCTTTCTGCCCCCTTCAGTATGTTTTCTGCACATTTCAAAAAGCACAGTTCAACACTGCTAAACAAAAATTGTTGGATTGAGTACTTACTTTGCTTGAGCTAAGACTCCGATAACTTCTGCATAGAGATCAGCTACAATGTGCATGTTGGCAGTGTTGGGTCCATGATACCTAGTCATAAAAACAAATGTAAACAGTAAAGCAGATGTATGAATTTATATGAATTTATACATTTTACTAAATGTATCCAATAGAGGAAAAAGTCTCTTACCCCTCTTTATATCTAAAGTGCTTAAAAGCCAAATTAATGACTTCATGGACCAAACCATCCACAACTGGGTGGAGGGGCATCTGGCCAAAAACACAAACAGTATCACATTTTATAATTTGGTTTTGAATGGCCAATTATGGCTTTCTGTGATTTCAAAAACCTTTGTATAATAACCACTAAACTGTGTATCTCTTCTAAGCCTTAATCTATGGCTAAATTTGCCATTTTGTTGCCAGAGGAAACAAAACACAATTCGCTATAAAATTTGAAGCTGACTGGGACCATTTTGATTGTCTGGCAAGGCAATAACCACCATAGATCCTTGGTGAGGATCCACAGACAAACTTGTACATTCAGTTCTCCTCACTCTTAAATAATTGTTTACATCTTTAAGGTCTGTTGGTTATATTTGCATCTAAACTTATTTAGATGCAAATCAAAGTGTGTGTGTGTTACCTGTTTGAGAACCTCTATGAGCACAAGAGAGAAGATGAAGTCGATGGCTAGGTCTCTCCTCTCCAGCAGATAATCTTTCTGCTGCTCATCACTGGGAAAGAGAGAATGTAAACAGATCATGTAAGCCAATTTTGCTCCCACCCTCTCACACATTCACTAAAATATCATTTCTCAATGATGAAATGGAGTTTTGCACTCCAGCTACAGGAAGCAGAAGTCACAGAAGCATCTGAGTCACTCAACACCCACTTGGCTATCTGATGTCACTGGGCTATTCTGGCACTATTGTGTCAAATCATCCAGTTAAGACAGAAGTCATCAGGCCAAGTGACAATATTGCATTACAGTCTCACAGAAAGATGTTTTTGAAATCAAGTAAAGACATTTACTATGGTACAAAAGATTCCTACTTCAAATAAATGCTGAAAAATCCTGAAAATGTTTACACAAAAATATGAATAAAAATATATGGCTCAAACGTTAACAGACATGAGCAATACCCACAAAACTCCAATTGTGAACAGTTAAACTGCCTGCTGTTCTTCAGAAAAATCCTTGAGGTCCCATAAATTCTTTTGTTTTCCAGCATTTTTGTGGATTTGAACCCTTTCCAACAATGACTGTATGATTTTGAGATCCATCTTTTCACACTAAGGACAACTGAGGCACTCATATGCAACTATTCCAGAAGGTTCAAACGCTCACTGATGCTCCAAAAGGAAAAACGATGCATTAAGAGCCTTTTTGAAAACTTTTTGAATTTGAAGATCAGGGTTAATTGAACTTAATTTGTCTTCTGGGAAACATGTAGCCTCTGAAGGGCAGTTCATTCTATTCAAAAGTTTTCACCCCTCAACTCTTAATGCATCATTTTCCCTTCTGGAGCATCATGACTGTTTGACCCTTCTGGAATAGTTGCATTTGAGGTAGATTTGCATTATTTAACTCTATTATGCTTAATTAACTATATCATACTGTATTACGCTTAAATTATCAGCCTTATCTAAGCGATACAAACGGGACTCACTTTTTGGACTTTGTATTTGAACGTGGTCGGTACTCATAGGATTCATCGTCAACTCCATTCTGTCTTTTGTACCAGTCAAACAGGGTTCGCAGGATAGATGGTAGGCAATACTCGGCCAGAGAACTCATTGTGCTGATCAACTGAAAAAAAGATAGCATGTATTAATCTCCACATAAACAAACTAAAAATACACCTAGTGCTTAATACTGTATATAGGCCATGTATTTCATGGTGCATATTCAGGAGAAAGCTATTTTGAGTGTGTAGGTGGTCTTGGTGAAAGCAGAGACTTTGTGCGAGCATGTGTCTTAAAGGGTTAGTTCACCCAAAAATGAAAATTAGCCCATACCCGGAACTGCTTCCAGTGTACAACAGTGAGCGCAAGCTACATTAAAGTGATTATTACGTTTTGAATATGGATATTTTTCTTACAAAAACGCATCGATTCGCTACAGAAGGCCTTTGTTCACCCCCCGGAGCCGTGCGAGACATTTTTTTTAATGGATGGGCGCATTTTATTTAACTGCTTTTGGATGGATGCATGCAACACCCGCTGAATGGCATTAAACAGCTTGAAAGATCAAAGACCATTTTTAATATAAGCCCGACTGGATTCGTCTGAAAGAAGAAAGTCATATACACCTATGATGACTTGAGGGAGAGTAATTTATGGGCTAATTTTCATTTTAGGGTGAACTAACCCTTTAAATGTGTATCCAAGATGCAAAGACAGCGAGAAAAGAGGAGGGAGTTGGGGTAATGAGTGCAGGAAGGAAAGGCGGTCCCTGGTGAGGACTCGACACACAGGAAAGGGAGGGAGAATGGGTGGTGTTCAGGGGCTGAGGGTGAACACAGCGAGCCCTTCATTCCTGATGAACCCTGGGAGAAGAATCACCTCTCAGTGAGGCTGCTGAAAAGCCCAGGGGATCATGGGTACAAACGCAGCCCTGTGAGTTCTGAATGAGGCTGCTATTCACCTGCCTCCAACACACAAACACACACACACATACATGCATACAGAAACAAACTTACAAATTCAGGGCAGGGAACACACACTCCACCCAAGCCAGCAATAAAAAGACCTTTCATTCTGGGCTTTCGATACATTTACTCAAGGTTATATGAAATTAAATTCTGTTTTTTAGACATTTTGTACATTTATTAATTTTGCAGATACTTTTGTCATTCATTTACACATTAGTTCATTGTAATGGGTAAGTTTAGGAATAGTAATTATATAACAAACCAAACATTAAGGATTTTTGTTTCTGCTTGCTCAGTTTGGCTTTTGGTTTAGATTTTTTTACTTGCCCTGACAGGCTGCAAACTTAAAATTTTCACTTTTTTAATTAATTTAAATTAAAAATTCCTTATTTACATTAATACTTTTTTTAAAACATAATTTTAAATATATGTATAATTAAATTTTGCAATTATATTTTATATTTGTATTAATTTTATATAATATTTTTGTTTTTACACTTTTTAATCAAATTGAAAATAACCTTTGCAATAAAAATGAGACATTTTATACATTTATTAATTTTGTAGATACTTTTGTCATTCATTTACAAATGAGTTAACTGTAAAAATAGAGTTTGAGAAATATATTCATATAACAAATATTACTCATTCTGGCCCCGATGTAAAATTATAATTGATTTATTTAAATTTTTTGTCATTTAATTCCATATTTACATTTAGAATTTTACAAATTCAAATTTGGTCTCTCTCTCTCTCTCTCTCTCTACAGTATATATAGTTGTGTGTGTGTATAGATATATATGAATGTATATATCTACAGTATATTTATATTTTATATTATTTATATTTATAATTTCATATTATTATGTTCTCACAATTTTTTGATCAAATTGCAAAGAAAAACTGGAAATTTGCAATGAAAATTAAATGCAATCCTTATTGTTGAGCCCTGTATAAAACAATCAGAAACAATTATGTGTAAATTATAGAGAAATAATGTCTCGCCCACTGCACAACATGTTTGATGACCTGATGGAGCATGCAATGTCTCCTACCTATCGTGGATTTAGGCATAAAACTCTCTTATCTAATCTATCAGAAATGCAAATGGACTTGTTCACTCCCAGACAGCCAGACAAGCCAAAAACCACATCATGCTTTTACTGAGGTCACTTTGAATGCTTTAAAGGCTAGACAGATCCAGAATCTATTTTAATAATTCATAAAGTCAGATTAATTTTTTGGCACAGCCAGGCAGCTAAAAGGCTGTTTCTTGTCTTTCCGCTGGGACATCTGTCCACGGACTGGACATGGGGACGTGTGCATATGTTCAGGGGGCAGAAAGCAAACAGTACTTACTTGGTCAAACTGCGGATCTTCACCCCTCTGAAGAGACTTTACCAAAGGTTTTTCCTGTAAAAACAACAGAAAAATGTAAACATGAATTTAACGCATTCTTAAAGAATGAAAGTATTTTGTTGAGGGGGGAAAAATATCTTCCTGACCCCAAACTTTTAAACAGCAGTGTGTATATACAAACAGGGCAACCTGCAGAGTCTTACAATTTGAAAAAGCTGATCTTAGCAACTATCACAGATCGGACATGCTGATTAAACAACACAGGTTGTGTAAAAAACAAACTGACCTACATTTCGTACTCCTACTCAGGTAACATAAGATGTTTCAAAGACCCAGAATTGTGTGTAGCTTCTTTTCAGGAGTCAGCAGTTAATAAGTGATTTGGATATTCAAATACTATTATCATTTTGTTATTTGGCTTTTAGGCCCAGAACAGACTGTCTTCTCTGACCCAGCTGGGCTAGTCAGACATAACACTTTCAGACTGTGTTAAATTTAATTTGAGCTCATTCAGTCCACTGAAGCACCACTTTCATCTTAGGTTAATAAATATTTCAGTTGCTGGAGTCATTTGAGGGAGAAACAGATGAGAGGGCAGACAAGGACAGGGCAATCCCTCAAGGCTTTGTTAATGGACCGCCTTATGCTCTTGCAGGACCTTTCTCCACTTCTGAATCAAAAGACTGGGGTATGTCAAGACATGACCGCCCCATAAAAACACTCTAGTTGTGTCTGAAGAGAAAGAAAAGTAAATAACATCCAGAAACCAAAAAGATACTGCAGCTATGAATCGCTTTATTTACTGTTCAAATACAATCGGTCAGAGGGATGTCGTTGTGCAAATAAACTGCAGATAATCCAGGTCATACTATTCTTTATCAAACAATACACTACACAACTGTGGCTGAACAATTCAGGTAACATGATCTCAGATTTTTTTTAGAAAATTAGAAGAAGAAGATGAGCTCATCCTGGTGGCAGATGTTTTGAGGGACACAATATATCTGTCCTGGGAAAGGTTCATTAACACTAGCCTGCCTGTCGGCCATGAAACTAGCAGCTCGCTGTTAAACACGCAAGCAGGTAAATTTGCCTGTTGTCTGGAAAATACTAACAAGGCTGGCAAGTGTTCAGTGTCTTTAGAGATAAACAATCGATATTTTAACACTAACATCTCATCTGTATTTTCCATTTCTGACAGATATGAATTTCATTTCTATTGACAAGAACCATACATAGATGTAGGGTCACGTGCTGAGCTACATAAACAACTAGGGTTAGCCGGATTAGCTTATATTTCCTTATTAGATTCAGTCCAAACAAGTCATTCCAACAGTCCATATGGTCAGCCATCTCCACAGTCCTCAGAGACAGATGAGTACTGGGACTGGAATGGTCACAGGTCTCAAGATCGTAACCTTCAATAGTTCAAAACTGTCACTCACCAAAGGTTCGGCCATGACGATACGTATTTTGCGCTCTGAGATGGTGGTGAAGTTGGCGAAGAGGCTCTTGAGCACGTATTCGCCCGGACGGCTCTCTGGGTCCACGCTGATGGGCATCATGGCCGGTGGCCCCTTCTCACCCTGCGAGCAGCAAACTGGTGGGACAGGAGGCTTGCTGTACCCTGGTGAAGCTTTAGACAAAAAAAAGAAGAATAAATAATATTAAAATTATAAATATGTACATGGAAATGAGGTGTTCTTAGTGTGTCTAAAATACCGCATGTATTGTATTTGTCTTTTTCAGAAGCCCAAAAATGGAAAATCTGCATTATTTCAGAATAAATCACATGCATTTTCTACTGTTCTAGTTTAGAGGTCAAAAACTATTTGAGTGTATACAATCAATTATTGTATTCCAGACAATGACCATTTCCTAATCCAGACAGTGAAATCCATTTCTGAGTTTCCCAACAATTCTCATTCTGCAGCTTGCCAGCGACTGAAACCTGTGTACACAAAGTAACGCCCAGATTTCCTCAACACAAACTAAAGTAACACCCTAGAAGCAGAAAGGTCGATTTCATATCAAGAAGTTGTAATATTCTTTCACAGAGCTCACAAACACACACACACACACACACACACACACACACACGCACACAAGCTACTGGACTGTACTGTAAGTAACAGAGGTCGAGTTGCAGAGGGGGCATGTGACAGTCACAGCAGTGATAATTTTGACAACAAATTTTGATCTAGTTTTAGACACTTATCATATGTTGACAAAAACAATTCGTTACACATGGCTTAAACTGGGGTTTGCTTTCCTTTGAATAGAACAAAAAGATCTTTGTAATCTACAGTATTTCACCTCTGAAAACAACTAGTTTAAAAAATTGTAATCCACTTTTTTCAATCTAAAGTTTAATATATTTAATATATTTTGCACCCAGAGGCGTGTCCCCTCAGATTTCTGAGCCAAGCGCATTTTGAATGCAGCTTCCAAAAGACAAAAATAGCAGAATAATATTTTTTATATTTGATACAATCACACCGGTGTGATTAGATTGTTCAGTGCGGCACAGCATCAGCTGCTAAATTCAAATCTGCGTTCACGGGCTGGCGCTGAGCCAGAAACACACGCGTTTTTACAGTGCTGCGCATTATAACCAATCACACACGATTCTGTTGAGCTTATGAATGCAATGGCCAATCAGAGACGTTCAGATGAGTCATCGCTGAAACGCTGTGCTTTGCTCTCATCAGAAACAACAAAGTGCAGATGGGCATACGAATGTAAGTAAGAGATTCATTTCACAGTGTAAACAGCTTCAGTGATTTTTAATGGGAGTTTTTGAGAGTGCCTCTGGCTAGATTGAATGAAAATGTTCTTTGCTCTCTGTAAAATGAAAGTGTTATAATTAGTAACTTACAATATTGTTATTAAATTCACATTAAATACAAAGTCAGTCGTATTAAAATATTTTATGGCATGACACCCATATCTAGTACTTAAGTAAAAAGTGGGGTTTTTATGTGTAGTTAATAGATTACACTATTAGTCTACTTTGCCCATCACCATTGATCAAATAACATAATTTATAAAGGTGCAAAACGCATTTACTTACACATATTTGAGAATCGAGATATTTCCAGATATAGGCTAGTTAACACGTTTGGAAATATTTCGAATAAAAAGAAAAAATAAATAAATAAAACATAAGCCTATATCACATCAGGTATACAGTGCTATCGTGGCTGCTGTGTGTCACATGACAAGCATGTGATGAATCCATAAAAAAAAAGTGTCTCACACAGCTCCAGGGGGTGAACAAAGTCCTCCTGTAGCGAATCAATGCGTTTTTGTAAGACGTCGCCGACGTCCTACGTCATCCGCCCGGAGCTGCTTCCGTGTACAACTGTTGGCGCAAGCTAGATTAAAGTGATTATTACGTTTTGAATATGGACATTTTTCTTACAAAAACGCATCGATTCTCTACAGGAGGCCTTTGTTCACCCCCCGGAGCTGTGTGAGACACTTTTTTTTTATGGATGGGCGCTTTTTATTTAACTTTTTTTGGACTGATGCACTGCAACACCCGCTGAGTGCCATTAAACAGCTTGAAAGATCAAAGACAATTTTTAAAATAACTCCGACTGGATTCGTCTGAAAGAAGAAAGTCATATACACCTAGGATGACTTGAGGGTGAGTAATTTATGGGCTAATTTTCATTTTTGGGTGAACTAACACTTTCATGTAAATAGCAGCCCAAATGCTAAAACTAAATTTGATTAAATAATATTCTTTGATAATAAATTGATTAATTTATAAATACTTCTTATTTCTAAAAATGTATAAACTAAAAAAAAATAGTTAATTATTAATATAATTAATAATTGTATTAATATTTCCTTCGTTTCATTGCATTCTACCTGACTGCACAATCATTCATTAACATACTGTACACTGCAGTTGGCAACAAACATTTCTTAATTTCATCAAACCATCTTAGATCGATATATTTCTTCAACAAAATAAACAGTCTGTTTTGCTATTATATTATCTAAACACCAATAAAAGCTCATGGGTAAGTTTGAAGCTCGCCTTGCATTTGTTCAACTACGCTGTGTCACATTTGACTAATTCTGTTACTTAAACACTATGTTCGTTTACAAGTTTCATCATCATTCACTGACAGATTCTCACTCACTGCTCTTTCTCTCTCTCTCTTGTAGCACCTACCCAGACCTTTCATGAAGTTTACCATGCTGGTTTTATTCCAGCACATGACTGTGCTGTCCATAGTAGGGGAGCAGCATATGGGATCCAGTTTTCCAAACTTCACACGTCCTTATCAGTCACTTCAGTGATAGCAAGACCTTCTCCCAATCGCCACTTGCCCCATACTATAAAGGTCCCAGTGCAAGTCGAAACAAAAGTCCGAAAATTAGGTGATAACAGATCCGCACGCGTGCTCGCCTCTTCTGAAAGCTCTCTATTGCAGTGTAAACGTCCACTGCCTCTCGAGACTGAATGTCAGGCTGGAATATTTAGCTGAGGCCTGGGCAAGTGTGCAGGACTGACATGCTACAGTGGCATAGCTGCAGGGCTATATTTATCCCTGAGTACACACTATACGTCCTGATCTCTCCTCCGCCACTAACCAACAGTGTAAACATCATTCGATTGGGCACAGACTCACTCACTTTCACTCCCTTGTTTGCACATATGTAGAAACACAGGCGGCGTAAAGTGAGATAAACTATCTAGCTTCTGAATTCCACCGACCGACTCCATTACACAATCTTCCCTTGGGAAAACCGCCATGGGCAGCAAATGAGAAGCCAACTAGGCTTGCAAAGCTCAATAAAAATATTGCATTAACAAAACGCATAAACAGATCTCAAGCATTAAAATGTCAATAAAGATAAACAAACTATTTTCCTAATTTACTTAAAAATTGTATATATATATTATATATTGTATATGTATATATGTATTGTAAATATATATATATATATATATATATATACATACAGTATATTAGTGCTGTCAAACAATTAATCGCATCAAAAATAACGTTTTTATTTATAATATACATGTGTATACTTATACTGTATATTTATTATGCATATATAAATACACACACATACAGTATA